TAATTCATCTATGAATTCATTATCGGGATCAGAAAAACATTGGCAAAAACAATTTAATCTACTCTAACACTGCGTGTCACATTCAATCTGGATTAGACGATTCCAACTCATCAAGGTGTTCTGAATTTATTTGTCTGAATAGTGCCGTGGAGGAAACATCAAAGTGAATGAACTTTCTCATGTGAAACTAAGATCGTTTTACTGCGAACATTTCGGCGGTGTCTTGAACTGTGGGATGTAAAGCAATCTTGTGTGAACTTTACGCGAAAAGGGATTTCGATTAGGGCTGTCCCGCTGTATGGACTGTGAGATGCTGCGCAAAACCGCGATTGAGAACAGTCTCCCCCACCTGCCGCAGCCGCGTGTAGGAGCAGCCACATAACACAAATGAATATAAATCAATGCGATCGAGTAACTCTATCATCATTTCGTTTACCATTGGTCTTGCATCAGTCTGTGAAAGATTTCATTCCACAATGAGTCAAATTTTTGGAAATTTGGGTTTACTACTTTTTTCAGAATCTTTCGTGCTAATAAGTCAGTTATCTCGACTTACTTGTCTCCATACTGTTTGGTAACATGGAATCCATTCCGAATACTGTTCACATTATATTGTCTTTATGGGCCAATTTAACGGTTCAATAGAACTGTGAACGGGATCTGAATCTGAATCCGGTTGGTCAGCCTCGCTCGTGTCGTAAACTTCACACTGAGCGTCATCTGCAGAGCTCACAAAATTTGAAAATTAACTTTTCAAATATCACCGCTTCCTTCTATAAGAACTAGAACTAGAAGTAATATAAAGACTGCAGTCTGGAAACAATCCAGGCGCCCCTTTGATTGGTCACATCCCGCTTCGTGAAAATTAAATGGTAAGGAAGTAAAATGAAAATGAAACGGAAAAATATAAGGTACACTGACGAAGGTTTGTCGCTCGTACAGTCCACGGAGCAGGAAAGGTGCGCATTGAAAGTCCAGTTACCGAGTCAGTGCTTACGTGTGCGCATATGGCACGAATCGCATTGAAAATCGGCGAGATCACTATCGATCGAGGATGGAATCGAAGACTGCGTGTACACGCACTGCGGACCATTCCACGAAGTGTGAATCACTCACGACGCCGTTTCAGCATGGATACAAGTTCACTAATGCCCTAAATGCGCCCGTATGGATACACACAAACACACGCAAACCCTCCGGTTTGTTCTATTCGTGCGTGATGCACTGCACTCCTTCCGTCCCGGTCGTCCGCTCTATAGGTATCCGACAAGAATGAAGAACTGCGTTCCATTGAACACAATCAATAGAAATGCGAGTCAACTTTTTCTTGTCGATGGGGTATAAACTCAACCGGAAATAAATCAATAATCTTGTATATAAAACTTAAAACCATGGAGGCGAACGAAGTTAATAACACCGTGACTTCACGAGGTTATGTGATTTCAGTTCCGCATTCTCCAGCCAAGTCGAGTAAACTGAATTCAAATTTGTCAAAGTATAAAAACGGCCAGTACATTGGCTCGATGCACGAAGAGGTGACCATTCTGGAGAATGCGTTGAATTTCCTGCACCTAGGAAATGTCAACGGTTATAAGAGAACATGAACGAACCTGAAGGGAAGGTGTATGACACAAAACACCGTGAAGTCTCCAACTTTAACCTGTACGAAGAACGTGACCTTGCCTGGTGTTACTATTTACCCGGGAACGAGATTCGATCACACTTCTAAATGGAACTCCACAATTAGTGACAATTTTAACTCTGCCCGTCTCGACGTATTTTCGGTGATTTTATCACAGTGGCCGTCTCAGATTGGATACAATTGCGGGTTTTTGTCACCTATACTCCTTACTTGTACTATTGCATGGGTCGGATGAACGGCCAACTCCCATACAACCATTAGTTCCATTTGGAATATCTTGCGTATTTGTAACTTCCTTTAGGATGGAACGAGAAGTGCAATCTTTGTTACATAGCATTCGAGATTCGAGTCCGAGTGCAGGATTCGGAAACTCAAGTATCCTATCCAACTGAAGTTGAACTCCATGACTCATTTCAGGATTTTTTTGTTGATGTTATGCCCCCTCCGGTCTCTAGATTTAGAAAGTCACGCATGGAATCAAAATCCGGTGTCAATATACCTGACTCTGTTCAGTTTATTGTTCAGATCGAGTGATTTCTAGGAGGGATCGTTTCGGATTCAAATAGAAGAAAAGAGCACTCGCGCATTGTCTGAGATAGCGGCATAGGATACTTTATTTCTCATCAATTCAGATTAACCAAACTGATGGCAATCCAGGTGGCCGAGTGGATCACCACATTCGTATAAGATTTGGATACCTGTGTAGGGTCAGACGTGCCGGGGGAAGGGAATAGAGTCCCGTATTCGGCTGGGATGGGCAAACCGTAGGTGGGTATGAAAGACGAATAATACCATGCATTGTTCTTTTCTGTTTGTTTTTCTGTCTGTGAGAGGTAAACCTGTGAAGCGTTCAAAAGGAATGTGGGCGGGTAATCACGCAATAGAATAAAACAAAAACAACACGGCTTGTGCGTGTCAACTTGCTCGTTGCATCATCACGTGCAAACACGATGGGCATGTTGAACGGGGCGCGAGCGGGTGTGGGGACAGGAGAGCGCCTGTGGTGTCACGCTTTTTTAGTCGATTGTTTTTAAGCAGAATACACATTCCGTGCAACTAAAATGCATCTGAAGATAAAATTTGAAAACAAAAATAAGCCTTCTGTGTGTCTGGATGAATAAAATCTATATATATGCTTGTGCATATGGATTGCTCAGTCAGTTACTGTTGGGAATTTGAGTATCAGGGTCGGGAGGAAGTTATTGTTTGTTTTTTTGATAAGCTCTAGATTTATATATCATACCTGTAGATTGATTTGTATACTACTAATTGTTTGGTTAAAAGGAATTATTATGTTGCCATAGGAACGGGGTGGGTTGGAGGAGAGATCAAGTGGAACAGGACGGACGAAACATGATAC